ACTCTCGCTCACCCCAAAAATTGTTAAAAGAAAAAGGCAAGGGACAGACTGTTGGCAGCTTTTCCGTTTTTTTCTGTTTCTTGTTCACTTTCTCCCTCCCATACTGCTTCTTTTTTTCTATTACCTTAATTTTTTTTTTCCCTTGGCCTCTGTACCTGCCTTGACTCCCCTCATCTTAATTATCCTGCTTGTGCCTCCTTGTGAGAATTTCCTGGTCTCATTGGCCGTTCCCTTGACTGATATGTGGACAAAAACCACAGGTCACTGGTTACCAGGGTCCTGGAGCCAAGGTTCCCAACTGCTATTCCCGTCCTTGGGTGTGAAGTGCCAGGGCCATTTATTACCAGTTACAAGTACCCGAGTTTGCCAGGGCTGTATTTTATTTTACTTTTTTAGGGCAAGCCCTATGTTGCTGTCACCACTTTCATACAGAAAGGCTTTCTTGAGTGGGAGAGAGGGACACTCCACCTAATCCCCTGGGAACTGGGCACAGCCCAAGCCTGGGAGTGTGCCCTGGAACACGCCAACATCATCTGCCCTGGGGCTTCTCCTCGTCAGAAAAAGGCTAAAAGCCTAACTCAAGAACAGGCAGTGCTTCCTGCCTAAGATTATCGTTCGTTTGCTTTTTGGTGCGTGTTTTGACCGTATGGTATTGAAATGTGAAAGAACCATGGAGAAATGTTTCTCTCTATACTAGAGGTTAGAGCTATGTGTTTATTTTTACTAGTTATTTATTGACGTAAGTCAGAAGTGGGTGTGAAAAATCATCCCGCAGGTTTTATTGGATGGATAGAAAAAGTAGCAAATTGGAGAGATTTCACACATGGAGGAAGACTGCTCTTGTTGGTTAAAAATGTGGGGTGGGTTCCCTGCCTGCTTCCCTTCTCAGATGTTTTCTGGTAAGAGGGTGCAAAGGAAGAATGAAAGATAACAGCACAGTGAATCAAAGCGATTTCATGTCATACCTGTAGCTGTGGTTTGGAGTCCCAGACATCTGCTTGTCATGTCCAAGAAAACTTCAAAGGGATCTCATGTTTTCCCAGGAGGTATCTTTGTGGTAACCTCAATTTTTCTTCTTCAATTGATGTCAACAATCTCTACTTACGGTCTCAAGTTTAACATAAAATGAAGTCTTTACTCAAGCGGAAAGAATGTGATGAATCTAGTCATTTCTGTCTGTAAGGAGGGAACTAGTCCCAGATCCATGAATGTCTCAGTGAAGAAAAAAAAAAAAAGAAAGTTAGCAGGGGTAAGTAAGAAAAAAGAGAATATTTACATTTATTACAACTCAAAATGTGTATAGTAAAATATCATTTCTTTGCAACCGCATGGTATGATCTAGCCCAGTGACGCTGAGGATAATTTTAAACCTAAAGATAGCAAAGTCTATTAACTTATGGAAATTCAAGAGGTGGTTTTGAGGCTGCCTAACCTCAGAACGGGGAGTAAAAAATTAAGGCTTTGTGTACAAGTCAAGTGATTTGCTTTTGTTCAGTGTCTCTCTTTCTCGCTCTGTAAAAATAAATTTTCTCTCACAACTCATTGATTGCTTCATTGTTGGTATTCAGAGAGCACATTCTTTAAAAGTCAGTGGACGTGTGGTAATGCGATAGATGCACAGTTCTGAAAGTCCCGGAAACCTTTAACTTGTATACTTAAAATGGATTAATTACGTGGTCTGTGAATTATATCTCAATAAAACTGTTATATTTTTAGAAGTCAATATGTCATTATATTTTGAAATATTATGGGTTTTTGGTAGATTTATCCCCCAAATTAAATGTTCTTAACGACTTCTTCAGCAGTAAACATTTTTATTGACAGCGTGGCCGGCCACGCGAGGGCAAGGGCTGTGCCCCAGCCTCTGCCTCCACACGCTCCCCTCCCGGTGCTGGGCAGGTGTGCTTCCTAACCTCGTGTGCACTGGCCGGGCTGGCGTTCCTAATCAGGCCACGCAATTCCAATTCTAATATAATCCATTTATGTATACATTCTAAAAGAGTTAATTTTTTTTGAAAAGAAAATTGTAGATTTTGGAAAGACTAGATAAAGGTAAATTGCTCTGAAAAAACCGATACTGGATTAGGCATGAGAGAGGCAGTTGTAAAAGATTTGGGGGGACTCATCAACACTGAGATGTGTGTTGTAGGCAAGCATCCTAGGTCCTCCCGAAGACTGGACCCCGCAGGCCGTGCAGGCTGGCGCGGCGGGTGAGAAAGACTGGCGGCTGAGCTAACATTTACGTTACAATTAGATATTTCAGGAATGGCACTTTTTTAGGATTTTTTCACTCGAATAAACGTTTTTGTTCATCATCAAATTAATGGTCCCTGCAGCATTGAATGAGAGTGCCTTTCCAGTAGAAGTTAGAGGCACAAACAAGATCTTACAAAACGTAGTCAAGTGGTGGAGTTTAGGATTAACAGATGAGAATGGGATGAAGTTACAATGTGTGTGTGTAACAGAAAGAGTGAGAGAAACAGAAAACAAAATTTACCTACACAGATATTTATGTTCCCATGTTTTTGCTATCCAGCAACTATTGGCTTCAGAGCCTGCAAAAAGGAACAAAAGGTGCTTATTTATTAACCCAGCAAATTGTGATCTGATAGTCACAAAGGACCACACATTATCCTAGGTCTTGGCAATGTGAAAACAAGTAAGATATGGTCCCTCTTTACAGCTTTAATGTATTTTTCAGTTTTTAGACGTGACTTCTCTTTACTATACGTATATGAAAAGAATGCAATTTGCGGTATTCTTTTGTAAGGAAGTGGATAGTCAGTCTCTTATTTATTCTTAAAGCACCAAGTTTTGCTATTCTTCCTGGAAACCCTGACTTTAATTTCCATATCTTCCAAAAGAAAGGATACTTCTTTTCCCGTATGACAGGTGAATGCTTTATGATTATCTCCGTGTTGTTGGTTTTCTATCCCCCTTGGTTTTACAGGCAGAAACACACAAGACAGGGTAAGTTAGGCACCAAGAGGTGGGAGTCCTTACTCAGCTCCCCTCCTATGACCCCGAATGACCAAAGGCAAACAGGCCCATCTCAGCCAGGGGACTGGGATGGAGTGGACTCTGGATTCTCTATTTCCGGTGCTTATGATCTCTGAGGTGGTGCCTTCTCCTTGATTTTAGTATTTTTGATGGACCTAATGTCCCTAATGAGGACATATATATCAGACACAAAGTTTGGAATAGATGCCTCTTTCATAGAGATAGGTTAATACAAAGTACATTCTAGGATATAAGCTCCATGAAGTTTGAGACCATGTTGGTCTCACTCATGGCTATATCAGGAGTTAAATAACTATTTTTTTAAAAAATGAATACATATATATTAGAAATGTAAATGGAGAGGGAAAATAAGAAAGAAAAATTTAGATCTCAAAATGGGGTTCTTACTATTGTAAGAGTAATAGCTTGGAAGAAAGACTAGAAGACAGATTGTTGCATATTGCTGTTTCCTCAAAGTATGGGACAGCCTGGTAGAAGATTTCAGGTTAGTAGATTTTACACAGGTAGGAAATTTATTCATTTAGTCAGCAAATATTTAAGTATCCTCTATATTAGTGTAATGGTTATCAAACTTCTTGATCTTAGGATCCCTTTACACTCTCAAAACTTACTAGGTATCCAAAGAGCTTTCGTTTATATGGGTTATGTCTGATATGTAGTATACTGGGATTGCAATGGAGAAATTCAAAATTTTTAACTTGTTAACTCACTTAAAATAACAATAAGTCCTTCACATATTAACTAATATAAATAACATTTTATGAAAAATAATATATTTTCTAAAACAAAAAATATAATGAGATGACTAGCATAGTTTCACATTTTTGCAGTTCTCTTTTATAACGGGGCTCAACAGAAGGCAGCAGGATTCTCATATCTGCTTCTACAGTCAGTCTGTTGCAACGTGCTGTTTGGTTAAAATACAGGAAATGACATAGAAAACTCTATAATATATGAAATTAAGTAGAAAATCCAGCCTTACACAAGTGTGGAGTTTGAAAAGAGAGGGTCTTCCGGCCACAGTATGAAAACACTGCACCCGAGAACAGTGGAATATGAGTAATGAATTTTGTTTGTTCACCAAATATTTACTAAGTGCTTACCATGTGCCAGAAAATTGGGGGTTGGGGGGGGAATCTCGTAAGAATATGGAGGTTGGGGCTGAATCGGATTTGGGGTTTCTTTAGATGACCGACCCACTCTATGGAGGGGATGGGGGTACAAAGGCTGAGAGGGGAAAAAACAGAGTGTGGGAAGAGCAAAGTACGTGCCAGTACTTGTTAAAGTGGATCTGGAGTTAGATACTAAGCAATTGAAAGATGGAGGAGCAGCTCCTCAGTCTCAAAGAAGGAATATATTTGGTACAAGAAAGTATTGCCCTAGGTGGTGTGACTCAGTGGATTGAGCACCGGCTTGTGAATCGAAAGGATGCCGGTTTGATTCCCAGTCAGGGCACATGCCTGGGTTGTGGGCTAGGTCCCCAGTTGGAGGCACGTGAGAGGCAACCAATCGATGTTTCTCTCCCTCTCTTTCTCCCGCCCTTCCCCTCTCTCTAAAAATAAATAAAATCGTTTTTTAAAAAAGGAAAGTATCAATGCCCTATTTTTAAAAAAAGGTGTTGGAAGATCCTTGATAAGTCAGATTGCAGCTCAGCTTGGAGACGGGTGTGGATTCTTAGGAGGGAGATGAGTGAGTCCGTGGCTGTAGCTGGAGAACGTTGCGCAGCGTGGCTGCCCCCGTTAGGAGGGCGTGCAGGTGCTGCGTGCTGCCCAGCCGTGCCGGCACCCTCCCACCTGGGGGACCAGATGGCCAGCCTTCACTGTCAGCTCCAGGTGTGCTGAAAACCTCTGCTGTCTTTTTTTAACCCGTCCAGGATTCTTCCCAAAGGAGAGAGAAGTAAAATGTTGACTACATACATACATACTAAGCTTTTATCTTACGGTGCACTATCTGATGGTTTTTCCTTTGCTCTTTTTCAGACCATCCAGACCTTTCAAGTTACCAAAAAGGTAAGGTAACCTGGACCATCTTATTCACTAACCATCGTATTTGCATACCTTTCCCCTTCTAGTATTTTCTCCCCATTTTGCTGCTGTTTCTACCTTCCTCGCCATATTTTTATGAAGAAAAAATAAATTTTCCCTGCGCTGGCTGCTTGAGGAACCCTGTATCTCCAAAAGTGCTTCTAATCTCCAGGCAGCTTTATAGCGTTTCAATTCTGTTTGTGTTTAATTATTTACATTTGCCTGATTCTTTGAGTTCCTTCCTGGAAGGGATTGGCTTCTTGGTGCCCTACTTGTTGAGAAGAATTAATATTTTGCCAATTTCCATGGCTTGAATTCGTGGAGCATTTTTTCCCAAAGTGTTGGATATGTTTCTTCCCATTCTGTTACCATATTAAGATGGAGACATTCTTTTACATGGAAATTTAAAGTTCTATCTTTTCAGTGGAAGAGCAACATTTTGAGTGGATAAAAGTGGATAAAAGTCTTGTCAGATGTTCCAGGTATAATAGTATTACACCTTAGGAAGCTCTAAGTGATCTTTGAAATTCACTTGCTAAAAAAGCTCCGATGTGATAACTCTGAAGCCTGCCTTGGGCAAATTATCGTGTTTTTGGAGAAAAATTACTACGTAAACTTTAATATCAGTAAATCCCCCTTCCATTTAAAACATTTATATTTTCAAGTTTTGGTAAAATATGCACAGCACAAAATGTACTATTTGACCATTGCTAAGTGCGCAGCTCAGTCACATTAAGTGCATTGACATTATTATGCAGCCCTCACGGCCATCCACCTCCAGAACTTCCTTCGTCTTGCAAAACTTTAACTCCATACCCATTAAACAGTGACTGCTGACTCCTCCCTCCCTCCAGCCCCTGGCAACCACCGTTCTACTTCCTGCCTCTATGAATTTACGCTAATACCTCATTATGAACGGCATAATACATTTCACTCAGCATAACATCCTCAAGTTTCATCCATGTTGTAGCATGTCAGAATGTCCTTCCTCTTTAAGCTGAATGATATTCCATTGTATGCACATACTACATTTTGTTTATTCATTTTTGAGGGGAAAAAAGGAAAAAATAAAAAGGAGAGATTATATAAGTAAATATACCATATTAAGAAAATGAATTTCTATTTTTTTTTACAAATAATAGAGCCTTTCAAATAACTAAAACCTTTGCATTTTGAAAAAATTGGTCCATACTTTTTCTGTTATTAGATTAGCCGTTTTAAAACCCTAATTCCTCTTCAGTATTTACAAATATAAATGCAACTTCTTCAACAAAACCTGTTCTGGATCCCTTTCCCCACCCCAACGGGAAGTGATTTCTTCCTTCATTGAATTCACAAAACACTTTACCAGTCCCTCTGCAAACACATCTCTGCTCACCTGGTTATACAGGCATTTGAGTACCTGTCTGATTTTCTGTATTTGGCTCTAAGTTCGTTGAGGGCAAGAAGATCCCTGTCAGCCAATTTTTCATCTCCTGAATTCCCTGCCTCTTCCCTATATGGATCGAATTGTTGAATGAATTTATTGCTTCACAATTGAGAAAGAGTTCTGTATCCTGTCTTCTTTTGTGAAATTTCTCAAGTCTCAGTCATTCCTCCCACTAAATTGATAGTTGATGCCACTGGATGTGTGAGTAAAAGTGCATACTTTCCGGTTCATTTGGGGAAAAAATTGATCCATTTAAAACAAATGACGAGTAGTTGAATAACTGGAAAACTTTTGATTACTACCATATTGAAATGCTTACCTTTAAAGGACAAGAAATAAGGACACGTTATTGAGAGAAATAGGAAAGGAGAAACCAAAGATGTGATTTTTAGGAAGAAAGGGGTAGCTAAAGTGTTCAATATTGCTCAGGTCAAGAAAGATGAAAAGCAGGACTAGTTGGTTGATTTTGGCAGTTTTGGAAGAGCCAGGAGAGCAAAACCCGGGCTGGAAGGGGGTTAAGGATGACGTGTTTGGCCAGGAAAAGAAGGCGGTGTGTCCAAGGCACTTAACGCCCCCTGTAGCATGGCCGTCTGCTCTGAGGGAAGGGGAGAAAGAAGACAGTGTTTCCAGAAAGGCATGGAAGGGCAAAGAAAAAACCTTTAAGCTAAGAGAGGAAAATTTACTCTAGAGGGTCTTATTGTAACACAAATGGCCCATTTAAAAGAGGCCCCTGTATGATGTCACTTGAGCATAATTTCACCCTGTAAGACACTTAGTTTATTTATTTTAACAGTTATTTCTGATCTGGCTCCAGAGTAAACCCAATGACAAGGTGGCTGGGAACCTATGAGTGTATGTGGGGGGCTTCCCATTGGGTGCTTGTGAAAAGGCCGGCGTGGTCATCACAGCCTGGACCTGGACGCTTGGCCGCCTGTCCACTGACTCAGGTCCACGGCTCGTCCCTGAACACCTGTTGCCCCGCTGCGTCCTCATCCTCGAGAAGGGGGAGAGCCCCGCAGACTGAACCTGCTGAGAAGGCTGGGCGAGCCTCTAGACAGCAGGCCTCTGGGTGGGGCTGTGGCCCAAACGTGGCCAGCGGGGGCAGCAGAAGGGCCTCGGGGACACCGTCACCTGGCGGGTCACTGGGAAATGGCTGCCCGCTGTGACCCAGGTGTTGCAGAGGTGAGCTGCGTTTACAGTTCTGTTGCGTCGTCTTGGAATTTCCAGACTGAGAACGGGCGGATGAAAGACAAGTATTGTATGGCACGCCGAAGAACACATTATAGTAAAATGAGTGGTCCCTTTTGAAAATTCTTCTAACGTGCACGTGGTTCACTTTCCAAAGAAAATAATGTTCAAGGACTTCATTCTTTAAACCTAGTTAGAATATATACCTTGGGCCCAGATTCAACAGGAGTGGAATTAGCTCAAAAACTTTTACTGGCCCTTTTTAATTTCCTTTACATCCCCAATTTTCCTGCTTCACTAGGTTTTTATCTTAATATTACAGCCATCGTCTGAGTTTCATATTGTGCGTGAAACTTTTGTTTCCCACGTGACGCCCATAGCTATGTGATAGCCTTGAGCAGATCTGAGGAAGACCCACGTGGTGGGACGTAGGAGAAACACGCATCGGAGCAGTTGGGCTCCCCCGCCCCGCCCCCGCTGCTGCTCTACGTGCTCAGGACGGCGGTTCCATCTCTTCTGCACGAACAGGTGTCTCTAGGCGAGGTTAGCATGTGAAACATCTGTGGGAGGAAGTGGAATTGTAAAGTAGTGAGGTTAGCCGTGTGTGGAGGGATTGTGCTAAAGTCACTAATGCATAAAGTCTCCATATGTAGTCAATGCACGTATAGAGCGTAGAGCGGCTCTGCAAAATCAAAACCAAATGTTTTCAAAGGCAAGAAAAGCAATTATTGCAGCAGGTTTTTAAGGTTGCTGTGCATGTGCGTGCAGATTTTTCAAGAGCATGAAACAAAAAGTCATTATGTGGGTAAATTAGACTTCAGCGTGAAAACTAAGCAATTTGGGGCCCACTGCCCTCTATTGATAACATGTTTGGAAAAATGAGTAACTTCTGTTTTATTTGAAAGAAAATTGATCCATTTAAAATAAAGCATAATGAGTAATTGTATAAGCCTGAGGCCATTTTCATTTCGCAGGGCTGATATTTTAAATGTCTAAAATGTAAAGGACTCTTTTTAAGCCTGAAAGGATGAAGAGAAATTCTCAAGTGTGCTATTGACAAAGGACTTGCTTGCCTCAAAACCAGTTACTTTCATCCTAGTTTGTATTTGGTGGAGGAGGAAATAAAGTATAAAGAATATAAGCATTGGGTATGTTCTAGAAATTCAAAAAGCCTCTGACCACTTGGTGTTTACATTTTAACAGCGTGTTTTCATTATGTTCAGAATTATTGTTAAAAGGTTATTCCATCTTATCTAGTATAATTTTTCCTTGATGAGCTTTTAAATCCAGAATGTACTGTCTGGTGAATAATATTCAGACTTGAAGTGCTATGGATCTAGGTGGTTTTGCCTAGAGAAATGAACTACATTAGTATGGCTTAGGAATTTAATTTTAAAATTGAACTTGGAGAAGATACATTTATGGCAAGTTGATGTCTTTTATTCCTGATGTGTTTTATTCCTCTAGTGTTTGATGCAAGAGATGCTATCATAGTGTTTAGGAGGCCAGACTCTAGAACCAGACCACCTGGATTCTAAGCTTTGGGACTTTATTTACTGAGATATCATTAAGATAACACTATATTAGTTTTAGGCACATAACATAATGATTTTGATATTGTATACATTTGCAAAACTATTACCACAATGAATTTAATTAACATCTTGACACCGCACACATTTTTTTCTTGTGATGAGAACTTTTACGATCCAGTATTTCAGCAAATATACCATACAGTATGGTTAACTATAGTTGCCACGCTGTGCATTGCATTCCCGTGACTCATTTCTTTTATAGCTTGGCGAGCCTTGTGGCTCTGAACAAGCTGTCTCACCTGTCGGCCCCTTGCTTTCATCCCGCAGCCTAAATGATGTGTTCCTTATAGTGCTGGCGAGCAGGAAAGTGACCAGTTTATTGGACATTTTTGGTTTGGTTCAGTTATTCTTAAGATTTACACCACATGGACCTGTTAATGGGCTGAGTTCTTTTTCCAGAACTTAGAGAGTAAAAGTATGAAGAAAAGGAAAAGCCAGACAACCAAAGTTCTGGAAGAGACGGCGAGGCATTTGGATCCTCTGTTAAAATACGTGTTCTTTCCACTTAGCGGGGGCTGAATTTTAGATCTTCTTTTTCCCAGGCACAGACACAGATATAAAACATTATTTGTCAAACATAGACAGTATCCTGACTCCCCGTTGCCTGTGGCATGTGACCACTGCTCCTATCGCAGACACGAGAGGACAATGATCTTGTTATTTCCTGCTGCAATTACACGTAAATACTTAAAGCCTTGTCAGATCTTTTATTGATAAATGCCTGTACTGGGTCGGAAATAGGAGGATTGAACAAATTGCTCCCTTAGATGGCGATGGTCTCTCCAGTGCCCTAAGAGGCCCTCCGTGGCTCCTCTCTCCCCTGCAGTTACGCAGCCCTGATCGCCGACTGGCCCGTGGTGGTCCTGGGCATGTGCACGGTGCTCATCGTGGTCTGCGCCTTGGTCGGAGTGCTGGTGCCAGAGCTGCCTGACTTCTCCGACCCACTGCTGGTAAGGAGGGCGGGGCCAGTTTCTCTCTTTTCTTTAGCCCAAAACCATCTCAGAAAAATTACGTTAATACAAATCGCATTATGTTATTTAGGATCCCATGTTTTAAAAAGCCTTCTCAAACCATTAGTAAGTATACAGCTTTCTCTACAAAGTGAAGACATGCTTTCTCTGTGTTCTCAGGTGCTTAAAAAGTCAAGAAACGTGTTCACCAGGAAAAATCTGGAAATTTTGTTTCTTGGTTCCCATGTTTAAGCTGTAATAAAAAGCTAGAAATTGGAGCACCTTCATATTACAAAAAAAAAAAAGAAATTCATTCAGTCTTTAAACTGTCTCTTTTTTGCCCCCAAAGAAGATAGAGGAATTTCAGTATTACTAATAGATAGCAGGGTCTGCTTTTAAGTAAATGTTCCTCAGGAGTGGAATAATGAGGAAAAGATGAGCCAGAATAATGATATGCTCTTTGTAAAACACTGTAACATGTACAATATAAGTTAATTTCACCATAATATTTTTTAACATAAAAGTATTTACTAAATGCTTAGATATGAATTTGAAAGAGAAGCTTCAGATAAGTTTTTTTTCCCCTTTCCTGACACACGGAACATACTGAAGAATGAGACTGTTTTGTCACAGTAAATAGGTGATTGTTATCATGTCAGTTCGCCTCGTGTTACTGCCAGTCACGTGTGGACTAGCTGTGTAGATGTTGGCATTTCCTGTTGAAAGTTTTCTTCACCTAGCTTCACGTAGCTTCCCCAAGCTGCTGTAACTGCCCTTAGCCTGAAGTGACAGACACTAACGGGAATTTGTGCCTTTTTGCCTTAGGGTTTTGAACCAAGAGGGACTACAATAGGCCAGAGACTGGTCACGTGGAATAACATGGTGAAAAATACCGGATACAAAGCAACACTAGCCAATTACCCCTTTAAATATGCAGATGAGCAAGCCAAAAGGTAATCATTTCTTAACGTTCCGATAAAACATTGCTTAATGAATTCCACTTTTAAACACTGCCTGACCAAAAAGGTTCAATGGAAAATGTGTGGCTCAAAACCTTGTTTAAATTGTCATTGTCTAGTAAGAGTTTGTTGTATTAGGATGAAAAAATGAGGGTTTGGGGCTCTTTTTTCCCCCCAGAAGCAAGAAAATGAATGTTGGTTGTTTCTATTAATCCTTTTAGCTTAACTCCAAGTGCTCAATAGACCATGACTTTGAGGATGCGCTGTTATGGGCATGCTAATCGAAATAGCTAGCACTTTACTGAAGATCAACTTGTTCTGTTTCAGCCATCGGGATGATAGGTGGTCAGATGATCATTATGAAAGAGAAAAAAGAGAAGTTGACTGGAACTTCCACAGAGACAGCTTTTTCTGCGACGTTCCAAGTGAGTGGCATTCGTGGGTGACCGAGCTCCTTCGCGCTCCTTTCGCCTTCTTGACAGTGAACGTGATTAAAATCTGGACCGATCGAAGTGCGTGGCTGATCGCACAGCTTCACTGTTCCTTCAAGAGGTTTTAGCTTAATTAACTTGTCCTTCTACTTCTAAAGGTCAGCCAACCACTAATCTGAATGTATTTACTTAAAACAAAAATGAATAAGAAAGAGATGATCAAGTTATATCCAGTTTTTAAGGAAGATATAAACCTAATAAAATTCTTGACCTGGACCCAAATTTCAAGTCGCTCTGTAAAATTCCTTCTGCTATTAAAAAAAAAAAAAAAGTACAAATTTTGGGATTGATTCCTGAAATAATCTACTGTATGACCCAAAATACATTTTTAAAATTTTGATTCATTCAAAAAGCATGGATGGATAGCCTTCTCTATGCCTGCCTTGTCATTAGGCATTAGAGGTAGAGAGATGACCAAAATCCAGCCTAGAGGAAGTAAGTCCAAAGTGTGAAATGCCTGAGGGACCTGGGTCATCATGCAAATGAGTGAAGCTGGCTGGCGGCTGGAAGAAATGAGGCGCGGGTGGCGGAGTGGGGGGGGGGTCAGTAAGGAAAACCTCTGGGGAGCAACCAGTTGCTACTTTGCAGAAGAACGTACCCTTGAAGAAATGAGGGCCCCCGATATTGTAAGAACTTCCCTGAGGTCAGGAATCCAGAGTTTAATGTCTGCAGCAAATTCACTAACAAGCTGCTGTAGCCTAGAGTTGGCCTAACCACTCTGCACCTGCCACCCGGAGGAAGGAGTAGAGACCCAGAAGAAACGCATACAGGCCTGTGAGTCGTTGATTAGCCCTGGATGAGGAATGGTGAATTGTGGGTAATTACCTTCTGACAGTGAATATTGACAGTGTAACTCTCTTGATTCTAGAGTTTTGTTGTTCTTGAAAATCTCTCTGCAATGTGTATATTCCTATCCTATCTGATCTCTAGAGGCCCTGATTGGCTTTTTGAGGTTTCTAGATCTTGCTGAGCCTCAGGGTCTTTGTTTTGAACACTGTTTCACTATATAGAAATAGAGACATAGCAAGTAGGAGACTAGGAAGAATTTTATATTGATCCGAGGAAGCAGCGCAAGTTTCTTTTTCTGTCTTTTATTAGAAAAGCTGGGGTCTGGTTAGTTGCATGTTCTGGCTAGTTTATTTCTCTCAAGGTGTTACTATATATTGCTTAACCAGCATCTCCCTGGTAGTTACTATCTTAACTAGGAAGAACACAGCAAATTCCTGAAATATGGTCTTGTTTATATTTCAGTAGTCAATGCTGAATATCTGTCTCATAAGTGGTAGGTTCCGTCCTGAAAAAATCATTTCCAACTCTAGTAAAACAAAATGCCACAAGACTTATTTTGATCTGTAAAATCAATCAACATAAGATAATAGCCATTTGATGAAGGCAAGAATTTACTAAAGAAAAATTCATAATAGTGAACAAAGTTTATATAATAAAGCTTTATTCAAAAATTTGCAAGTTGATTTTCTTTGTCAGGACAATTAGGTATTTTATATAATGTAAAACTAATCTACTTTGTTTGACTTGGTTCAGATTTTTTGCAGTGGCTGAGGCAGCAGAAACAGTACTTATTGAGCACCTATTTTTTGTCACCTCATTTAATTCTCACAGCTGTTTGAGACAGGGGTTGCTGCCCCCGTTTTACCAATGAGGAACCAAAGCCCAGAAAAGTTGTCATTCGCCCAAGATCACCCAGCTAGGAAATGACAAGACCTGGTGGCACCCAGTTCTAACTCCAAAGACCGTGTCCTTTCCAGAATACCACAGGACCTCCCTTATTCAGAAGCATGTTTTAGTAAGATTTTCAAAATATTTTTTCTGCACTGGCGTAGCAGAGAGTCTCACCCAGAACGTTGGGGTGGCTGTGCCCCTGGCCAGCAGTCTGCACTTAGGTGACTTCTTTTAGTGCTTTTAAATTGATCACCTGTCGCCTTTCCTCTCCAGTTAGCTGCCAAAGAGAACATCCCTATAATCCATTCTCAAAATTCCCCGGTGCATCATTCTTTGATTTTATATACCACCGTGGCCATGTGTTGTGAAAGGAAGGGGAAGATAGACATTTAATTAACTGCCTGCTGAAAGTTCTGTAGGGTTGTACTTCCTAATTAGAGCCTGATCCAAAATACATTTGTTAAACATAACTCCTATGATTCTTAAGATGGAGTGAGCAGGCAAAGGCTTTGAGCTAAAACAAGATTATAGCATTGCTTTTTTTTTTTTTTTTTTTAATGTTTTCTCCTGGAATTTGTCGAAGGAAAGGCTCCCCTGCTGCTAATGAATTGTCCATGTGGTTTCCCAGTCTGTATTGCTTCTAAATGCCAAGTCTTAGGAAATGCATGGATGATTTATAACCCTTTTTCTTTCTTCCTATCACCAGGTGACCGATATTCCAGAGTAGTATTCACTTCAGCCAGAGGAGAGACATTATGGAATTTACCAGCAATTAAATCGATGTGCAATGTAGATAATTCAAGGGTATGTAAAGGAAAACTGAAATATGTTTAGCACAAATAAGACGATGTTTTTGCAACTCCTCTTACCACTGAGCAATGTCTGATTGGATGAAAGTGCTTCCGGGGCTTACCTGCTGAGGAGTAAACACCAGCAGGCCTGCTTTGCAGTCGCTTAGATCCCGGGATCAAAGTGTCTCTGTTTCCCTGCCCTTAACAGACCATCTTCCTAATAAAGAACTATTTTTCTTTCACTCTCCTGTTCTTTGTCCGTGATAGTCTTTTGCATTCTTTCACAGGGGATTTCCTTTCAGGATAATAGTTAAGACTTTTTTTTCTACTTTTGTCATATTTTCTTTCCTAATCTGCTTTCATTGTTCACTACACTTCCCCCTGAGGCAACTGTCAGCGTCTTAATTACCCAGCGAAATGCCTGCCTTTCTAGCCATCGGTGGGTCATTTGGGCCTGCGACCTCAAAGGAAAATTGAGGGCACAGGCTGGGGAGAGGGACATCAAAGGGTATAAAGACAGTATCTATGTAAATGGCCAGAGTAATCCAATCCAGATTGTCCTGAACTCCAAACACCTTGCTGCTGGAGGAGACGGGTGCAGACAGACTCGGGTCTTCCTCTCCTCTGGGGCCAAAAAGATGTCAGCCCCAGAGCCTACAAAGGCAGCCTCTGGGCTGGGAGGAGCTGTGTGTGTTTTGTGTGTTCAGAGGCAGAAACTGCTGTCTGGTGTCACTAATGGACCTGTCCAAGCACAGTAAGCAGGCAGAAAAGGAACTCTAAGATGCAAGATCACTGTTCAATTGAAAGTCTAATCACATGCAAGCCTAAGAGCTGCCCAGACAATCCAGTGCAGTAACCTGTTCTGAGAACAGCGTTCCCTAATGGAACCCAAAGCAGAAAGGACTGCGGGGTTCCCAGACTGGTAGAAGCTGGTAGAAGCGCCTGCCGAGAACTGTGTGGCCCACCCAGGCTAGCAAGTGGGTCCCAGGTCTCCTGGTTTTATTCTGCGTTCTGAGAGGCTGTTTATACATTTTGAAAATAAGCTCCCCATTGAGTGGGCTATCAGGATTTTCAGCAAGCGCCATCTTTTCTCTGCCCAACTCCAAACAGAGCAGCGATTTTCCACTGGCGTGCCACAAGAATTTTTAAAACATGCAATACTTGATTATTTAGTCAGGGGCACTCACCTCTTTTCCCTTCAGTTATCAAATTAAAAAATGACAATAGCCAACACAATAATAGCCATCTACTGTGAATGAATCAAAATTATTTTTTTTCTGTCAGATCGGGTGCCACAGAATTTTAGTAATTAGTTTATGTGTTGAAAAAATCACTGAAATAGACCACAGGCACAAACCACCTATAAATAGACATCATCATCATCATCAGTTTTGGTCAGTTTTTATTTGTCATATTTTCTTCCACAGCAATCAGTTCATTATTTGGAAGCTATGAACACACTTCTTGCCATGAAGGGTCTACCACCCTTCTTACGTAGAAAGTTAAATCGAGAGCAGTAGATATGTGGAGTATTTACTATGTGTCAGGCTGTAGGCTCAGGACTTCGCATCACTCACAGTGAGCCTGTGACCCTGTCCTGGTACCTGGGAATCACACCGCGGGTGAGGGCAGCGCCTTGACTTCCTAGCTCTCATTATCCTGCCTTCCCTGTTGATCGGTAGCCCTTCCCTCCCCTGTAGCTTCTGAAGTGACTGAATTCACACAATTGACTAATTGTGATGTTTATGGAGTGTTATTGATATCTGTCAGGAAGTGTTCCAAACCCTTGAATGAATTATCGCATTATTCATTGAATTATTATTCATCCATATGATAGTGTTGTGCGTTAAGCACTATTATTTTTGCCCACACAGGTGGTAAGTGCCACAGCTCGTGCCTTTACTCGCTGTTCTTATGCTCCCAGAACGCAGAAGAGAACACCCCGTTTTTGTTCAGTTTTACTATATATGCCATTTCCCGCTCAAATGAACTTCAGAGAGTCTGCATGGCCTAGAAAAAGTATCATTTTTAAAGAGCCAGCTCTTGATTCTTGATGAACTCACAGACCCAAAAGCCAGAACTGTGCCTTTATAACTTACATTGGTGAAAGCAATATACTATTTCCTATGTAATCTCATATTCATACAGATCAGATTAATAAAATCAGCATCAATAGCTAGCTTACACAAAGGCATACGGAATGGATGTGATAAATCAGTTGAATGAATTACATGAAGGGAAACTAATGAGAGGAAAATCTTGAAGTTCAGGATGAGATTTAACATCCAGTAACACATACCCCGTAATCCCATACACTTGCTGGTCATGAGCCGCAGACTTGTCTGTATTCTCCCTGACAGCCAGAGCAAAAAGGAGCTCACGATCAGTGACGGAATCATATAAGCAGGGTAACCCATTTGTGTCTTAGAAGAAACCCAGCTGCCCCTGGTACTAAGGCAGGAAAGGATGATTCCTCATAGGCTTTGTCAAAAAAGCCCAGTGTTGTGTACAAGGTCCTCCACAGCCGGCTTACAAGAGGTACGATTCTTAGCTGATTGGTAGATTCTATCTCGGGTCGGTTGGTAGCAGGAAAACATTATAACAAAAGAGCTTTTCTACAAGGGATTAAAGCAAAGAAATTGAAATATGTGGCTTTCTAGGGGCTTTAAGGTATTTGCAGGATGTAGGCTACCTAAAGGAATGGATGCATTCTGCTTCTTTGAGTATTTTTCTCCACTGGGCTCCTAATAAGGATTGGATAGCTAGGAGTTCAGGTCCACAATCCATAGTGAGAACACCGCAGCATTGTGGTCTGCGTGTGGAAATTTGAGGAACAGCCCCAAGACAGATGTCTCCATGAATGGTCAAGCCAGTTACAGAGCCGCACTGATAAAGGAATAACTATGTAATTAAGGCCCCCAAGTTCTACCTCAGAGGGTGTGGTCGTCGTTTTAACTGGTTGAATACTATTTCTACCAATCGCTAGTGCCTTTGTAGACTAGCCTCAAACTCCGCTGTGAACCCAAGGTAATAAACCTTTCTCATAGGGATAATCTATCCAATAGTATCATAACTCTTAGTTAGCAGTTCACATTTCAGATTATTATTGTACCATTTTTTAGTCTCCCAGCTCAGGACCCCATTAGGACTTTCATTTGTTGTGGTATTTTGAACAAACTGTCCTGGGGCCACTTGGTGGTCTCTCTCTTCTCCCCACTTCAAATCCGAGGGTTGTACTTAAGCCCTTGATCATTAACAGCTGTCTCATTGAATGGGACATATACTGAATGAGAAAGAGCAGAGCTTGACTGTCCTAGATCTACTCCAGAAAAGGACTGGTTATCGGTGTGAAATCTCAACAAGACCAGATGTTTCCATTGTCACCTGCCTGTGCTGACAGCTCGTTGAGTTCTGACTCCAGATTCCATTTCCACGACATGCCACGCACGCTCACCGTGCAGACAGGCCTTGCTCTCCACCGTGAATCGCCTCCGGTTCTGATGCTTTGGTTTCCCTCTAACAGAAAAGTTTGTCTCTTAGACTTTCGAAAGGAGCCTCAGTTGACTCACCTGCCTTCTCCATTACTTTTTTCTGTCCTTTGACATCCTCAGGGACACCCTGGCAGTTGGTCATTAGTACTCAGAAGTGTGTTCTTCTAATCTCGACTCTGCTGGAAACCCTCTGTCCTGTTTTGGAGTCTTTGGCTATTGCCCAAGTTGGAACTTGGAGCAATCAGCTGAGAAAAGGGATTTGAAATCTGGTGCCTAAGACTCCGTTTTCTAGGGTAACTTTTATGGACAGCCGGAACCGCCCTGAAGCTTGGAGGACTCAGAAATGTGTTTCCTGACGCTTGTGTTAGGGAGGACTGTGGAGTCCTTCCTTTTTCTTTTCTCCTTAGATCCCTTAAAGCTTTCCATGCATGAGGCACCGTGGTCACATGGGGAGGAACCTGGTATTAGGGGTTAGTTTTGTTCCCTTCAGTTTTTTCCTCAGCCTCTTAAAATATCTCCGACTTAGCCACTAGTTTTAAAAGTTAAGGTATTATTTAAAACTCTGCTGGTTTCTTCTTTTTCTCTCTTCTTCCTTTACCCCCTATTTTAGGCCAACTCCACCCCTGCCACTATCTAACTAGGAAGTGTACAGAGACACGTTATGACCACATAAGCAACACAACCTTCTAAAACATCCAATTTGTGAGTTCTAGAATCAAGAGTTAGATTGCGCACGAGAGTTACAAGAAATCGCTCTCACTGAGTGTTCTGATTTTTAGCAATGTCACAGATTTAGAAATCATTCCTGTGAATTCCTTTCCCCAAAATACGGCAGAAGCATACCTGAGGATACACCCACTTGCCAATCTCTGTAAACCCCACAGGGTAATATACGACTATGTGTTTAGCTGTCTCAGTCACAGGCAGCAGAATTAGGGCCACTGTCCCCTCACACTCATTCGCGTTAGCTCTCCCTCCGCAGGTTCACGCAGACCCTGCCACGTAATGTGGTATGTCTCCCATGGAATTAGAATCATTGATTTTCTCGTCTGATTTCCCTGCCACGCTTGTGGGCAACCTGAGAGCAAGAACCGCTGTACCTATTCATCTCGTAGACATGTCAATAAATACTCCTTCTTTTGCATGGATGGATGGATGGGGACACGTGGCCTCACTCTGAGAATCTAGACATTTCCTTGCACTCTGTCCCTTCTGACTCGGGCGATCGGGGCTCTAGCTTCCAACTCCGCAAAAAGTGTGCCAGTCATGATGTCTTTTCTTTATCCTTAGGTCTTACCCTGTAAGTGTCCTCAAACACTGGTTTTCAAAGGTTGTACGTTAGCCAGCACTGCCTTTGAATTTGAGGGTTGGCTCTCCAGAGGCTTATGAGCACTTATTTTTGATAGCAGCCACCAAAGTAGTATTTGGTCTGTGTTCATCATGGCCAACTTTTTAATCTTTGGTCAAATACATACGTGGGTGGAAAAAAAAAGAAACCCTGCTATTATTTGTAAAGGTTATTCAAGGACAGGGTCCTGTGCTTTCCTTTCCAGTTTTAGCTGGCAACCCTGTTTCCTTTGTCTTTCCACTTGGTTTTATATACAGGGTCCGGCAGAAGTAAGGCCTGCCTGAGTGTGGTTGGTAGGGTAATCATACGGGTGTAATAATTTATAGTTTTAATCTGAACATTTCACCTAAAATGCCCTAGGGTGTGCTTGAGTGTGATACTGTTATGTTAGAGAGTCACATGCTTATAATTTTGTAATAAAAGATTTTGTAATTAAAAAAGTGGGGGCGTTATTTATGCTGGACCCTGTATATCATCAGCTACAAATAAGGTCCTTTGAGCTGATCCCGGGTTTCATAATGGACCCAATTCATTTTCTTTCATCTGGAAACTGTCAGACATTAGGGTTGCTTTTCCTTCCTTTCTGCCCCCCAGGGGCGTTCAGGTGACTGAGGGCCTGCGCGTTCCTTCTTTGTGGGGATACAACTGCTCACCGGCCATGAAAACCCGCAAGTATTCTTCCTGATACCTGTCGTTTGCTCGGTGGTTGTGTTTCCCGCGACTTAGCACATGTGAATGTTCCAACCTGGGGACAACTAAATACAAATGGTCCTATTTTGTGAAAAGTCAACTAATTATGGCTCTTTAGAAGTGAGCTTAAAAATTAAGGGTTTGTTAAAATAAAAATTAATTTAGTATGCTTGAATAATTAACCCTTTGGGCTCATTTTTTTTTTTATCCCCAAGAGAGTATCTTCAAAACAACTTTTTATTATGAAGGTTTTCAAACTGATGCAGAAGTAGTATAAGAGAATAATTTCTCATGGGCAGAGCTCCAACTTCAGCAGTTCCCAGGACATGGCCAGTCTTATTTTATCGATGCCTCATCCCCAGGATCAGTCCCCATAAAATCCAGTTGACCCTTGTACAACATGGAGGTAGGGATGCCAACCCCCTGTGCTGTCAAAAATCCACATATAACTTTTGACTCCCTGCAAACTTAACTACACGAGGAGATCATAAGCAACTTGGCTCTTCAGTAGGCCTAAGTTCCAAAGAGGTGATTTATGCCAACATCTTCTCCGCTTTGAGAAGGTATTTCAATGCATGATTGATAAAGCCTCTTTTAATGAAGATCAAGGGTGGTTTTAATCCTACTAGAAAAAAAATATTGATACCCTTCATGCACTTTGGAGTTTACTCTCTGGAACAGCTTTTGACAAACAGAGGGGATGTGATAGGAGTGGGTTGTCTTTAGCTCTGGTACTTCTAAAGTACCGGCTCAAGAGAAGGGGAATATTTCTTATTCTCACTCATGGTATTTACAGATTCTGAAGGCAGTGGAATTGTGCAGGCTTCCTATAAATTAGCAATGCTAGATGTGGCACTGGAACAGTGTTTCAATTTTCTATAACAAGAACAGCCATCAGCAGAAAAACCTTTTCTAGGAGTAGTGTCCTAAATGAAACACTGTCCAGCTGAAATTCAGAATTGTCACACTTGTTAAGATGCAGCAGAGAGAGCCCTGTTTACCAAAAGCGAAAGCTCTCCCAAAAGGGCTTTTTAAAAAAAAGTAGTCGTATGTATTTATTTAAAATCAGATACATATTGGGGTGGGCAAAAGGTTTACAGTTGTGAGGACTCAAAACACAGGGTTTATTCCTGTATTATTATTTATTAATTGTTGTATTACGTATTTATACAACTGCACACCTACATTTGCCCAGTCTGCATATATATCTCAGGAAACAACTTGGTTCCAGGTCTTCCGTGCATCTTTGACATCAGCGATTCTGGTTTCACTGTCGCTTTTTGACAGTTTTCTAGGGACTATCATGTTGCTTCCAGCGAAGCTGATTGATTCAGCTGTAATACCTTCATCGCCCAAAGTTTCACGCTGATAACCAGAAATTTTAGGCAAAGCCACACATTTGTTTCATAAATCAGTCAGACAATTGTTCTTTTAATTAACCCTGGACGTGTACATGTGGAAGCCTCACAGCCTACCCACTTGATTGCTTTTTAAAGTGACTTTCAAAAGCCTTCCTTACGGAAGAGGCGTTGGTGTTAATTTGGTCTCCTTTTTTAAACCCGAGTAGCACTAGTTGACTTTGTTTCTCACTGGCGTGTCGTTCCCAGACTTCACTTTGTTGTTCAGAATCAAGTCACCCAGCAAGTACTCTGCCATAGCAGAGCTTGGGGCAGGGGGAGAGGGGTCTCACCCTGTATTCACACTGATGGCTGACTCCCGAGGGTGGCTGCTTAACTTCCGTAACCCCCTGTCCCTCAAGGCCACCTGAATCCCGACCTCTGGTGCCCCCGTTTTAAACGGCAGCCCTTCTGCGTGTCTGTCTCCGCAGATCAGGTCCCACCCCCAGTTCAGCGACCTCTGCCAGAGGACCACGGCCGCCTCCTGCTGCCCCAGCTGGACACTGGGCAACTACATCGCCATTCTAAACAACCGGTCATCCTGCCAGAAAATCGTCGAGCGGGATGTGTCCCACACCTTGAAGCTGCTCCGAACCTGTGCCAAACACTACCAGAACGGCACCCTGGGGCCCGACTGCTGGGACGCCGCGGCCAGGAGGAAAGACCAGCTCAAGTGCACCCACGTGCCCCGGAAGTGTACCAAGTACAACGCCGTGTACCAGATCCTCCATTACCTGGTGGACAAAGACTTCATGACGCCAAAGTCGGGCGACTACGCCGCGCCCTCCCTGAAGTACAGCATGCTCTTCTCGCCCACCGAGAAGGGGGAGAGCATGATGAACATTTACCTGGACAACTTCGAGAACTGGAACTCATCGGACGGCGTCACCACCGTCACCGGCATCGAGTTCGGCATCAAGCACAGCCTGTTCCAGGACTACCTCCTGATGGATACCGTGTATCCGGCCATAGCCATTCTGATTGTCCTGTTCGTCATGTGCGTCTACACCAAGTCCATGTTCATCACGCTGATGACAATGTTCGCCATCATCAGTTCCTTGATTGTGTCGTATTTCCTCTATCGCGTAGTCTTTAACTTTGAGTTTTTCCCCTTTATGAACCTCACCGCGCTCATTATTTTGGTCGGCATCGGGGCAGACGACGCCTTTGTCCTGTGCGACGTTTGGAACTACACCAAGTTTGACAAGCCGCACGCCGAGACTTCGGAAACGGTGAGCATCACCTTGCAGCACGCGGCCCTGTCCATGTTCGTCACCAGCTTCACCACCGCAGCCGCCTTCTACGCGAACTACGTTAGCAACATCACGGCCATCAGGTGCTTCGGCGTGTACGCGGGGACCGCCATCCTGGTCAATTACGTCCTGATGGTCACGTGGCTCCCGGCCGTGGTGGTGCTGCACGAGCGGTACCTCCTCAACATATTCACTTGCTTCAAGAAGCCCCAGCAGCAGATCTACGACAACAAGAGCTGCTGGACCGCGGCCTGCCAGAAGTGCCACAAAGTCCTCTTCGCCATTTCAGAAGCCTCTCGGATCTTCTTCGAAAAAGTGCTGCCTTGCATCGTCATTAAGTTCCGCTACCTTTGGCTGTTCTGGTTCCTCGCCCTGACGGTGGGCGGGGCCTACATCGTGTGCGTCAATCCAAAGATGAAACTGCCCTCCTTGGAGCTGTCCGAGTTCCAGGTCTTCAGGCCCTCGCACCCCTTCGAGCGCTACGATGCCGAGTACAAAAAGCTCTTCATGTTTGAGCGCGTGCACCACGGAGAGGAGCTCCACATGCCCATCACCGTGATCTGGGGGGTGTCCCCAGAGGACAATGGCGACCCCCTGAACCCTAAGAGTAAAGGGAAGCTGGCCTTAGATAGCAGTTTCAACATCGCGAGCCCGGCCTCCCAGGTCTGGATTCTGCACTTCTGCCAAAAACTGAGAAACCAGACATTCTTTTACCAGACCGATGAGCAGGACTTCACCAGCTGCTTCATTGAGACCTTCAAGCGCTGGATGGAAAACCAGGACTGTGATGAGCCGGCCCTGTACCCGTGCTGCAGCCGCTGGAGCTTCCCCTATAAGCAGGAGATTTTTGAGCTGTGCATCAAGAGAGCCATCATGGAGCTGGAGAGAAGCACGGGATACCACCTGGACAGCAAGACCCCAGGGCCGAGGTTCGACATCAATGATACCATCAGGGCGGTAGTCCTAGAGTTCCAAAGTACCTACCTCTTCACGCTGGCCTATGAGAAGATGCACCAGTTTTATAAAGAGGTGGACGCCTGGATTTCCAGCGAGCTGAGTTCTGCCCCCGAGGGCCTCAGCCACGGCTGGTTCGTCAGCAACCTGGAGTTCTATGACCTCCAGGACAGCCTCTCCGACGGCACCCTCATCGCCATGGGGCTGTCCGTGGCCGTGGCCTTCAGCGTGATGCTGCTCACCACGTGGAACATCGTCATTAGCCTGTACGCCATCCTTTCCATAGCCGGCACTATATTTGTCACGGTTGGTTCCCTTGTCCTGCTGGGCTGGGAGCTCAACGTTTTGGAGTCCGTCACCATTTCCGTCGCGGTCGGCCTGTCCGTGGACTTCGCCGTCCACTATGGGGTGGCTTACCGCTTGGCCCCGGACGCCGACCGGGAAGGGAAGGTGGTCTTCTCCCTGAGCCGCATGGGCTCCGCCATCGCCATGGCTGCCCTGACCACTTTTGTGGCGGGCGCCATGATGATGCCCTCCACGGTCCTGGCCTACACCCAGCTGGGCACCTTCATGATGCTCATCATGTGCATCAGCTGGGCCTTCGCCACCTTCTTCTTCCAGTGCATGTGCCGGTGCCTTGGGCCACAGGGAACCTGCGGTCAGATCCCTCTACCTAAAAAACTCCAGTGCAGTGCCTTCTCCCATGCCTTGTCCGCAAGTCCTGGCGACAAGGGACAAAGCAAAACACATACGCTAAACGCTTATCACTTAGATCCCAGGGGCCAGAAGTCTGACGTGGAGCATGAGTTTTATGAGTTAGAGCCCCTGGCGTCCCACAGCTGCCCTGCCTCTGAGAAGACCTCTTACGAAGAGGCCCACACCTGCGCTGAATTCCTCACCAGCCAGGCGAAGCTCGCAGCGGCCCCCGCGCACCCGGCTTACGGCAGCGACCCCAGCAAAAGCACCAGAAGCGACCCGGGCTCCGCCTTGGCGCATCCCTCTCTGGAACAGCACACCGTGCGGCACCTCTTCTCCGTGAACCAGAGGTGTAGCTGCCCGCATGGCTACAAACATTTGAAATACTGCCCACCCGCTTGCCAGCAGATGAGTGACTGCGCGTGCCACCCGTGCGCCGGCAGCTTCATGCACGTCCAGAACGGCGTGGCCCCGCCGAAGGTGGCCCAGGCGGCCCCCGAGGGCTTCGTGCTTCCCCTCCCGCACATCCACCACTGCCCCTGCCTGCAGGGCCGAGGGAAAGCGCCCGTACTACAGGGCGCCCTCCCTCGGAGCTTCTTCCTCCCCCCCGCGCCACATGGGCAGGCCCAGGACCAGCCGGGCAAGCCCGGCGTGCGCGGCCCACAGAGCGGCGAAGAGCGCCCCCCGAAGGCGGCGGAGCCATCCGCCTCCGCCTGCAGAAGCACGGGGTCCGTCCGGAGAGCGTGCTGTGACTCTGAGAAGAACCACAGGGGACCCGGCCCAAACAGAGACAGCGGGAGTGCGGCAGGCAGCGCGAGTGCAGCGGGCAGCGGAGGGGATGAGGTCAAGGACTGCAGTCCAGCGCCCCCTACCGGGGGCGCAGAGAGCGGGGCCGAGCCGAGCTCCTCGCGGGCTGAGAACGTCCTTGTGAACTCAGAACGTTTAAATCAGAAGGAACCAAAATTTATATTGAACCGCTTCGTGGGGGAGGCTGGTCACGGGTCCTGCCCAAACAACCCACGAAGCTGCGGCAGAGCCGTGAGAGTGAGGTGCGGTTCTGCGGGCTGCCCGACGCCACTCTTGGAAGCCGATGTGCCTGCTGCATTAACACACTCGGAACTTTCTGGTGAAAGTTTGTTAATAAAAACACTTTAATAAATAGAGTATTAAATTCAGAACCAGTGCCCCAGTTGTTCCTTTGAAATGGAAGTAAAATCCAGAAGTTTAGAAAAGGAGTCCCCAAATGCAGAAACAAAGAGGTTTCACTTTGTTCACAAAAGTGGAATACGTGGCTATTCTGTGTGGACAAACATGTCTAATGAGTGTTGGCTGATTCTTGGATTTTATATTTTCAAAAAAGTACAGTTTTTATTGTTGTTGTTGTTGTCGCTTTACATTTACACCCAGCTTGAAAAATAATCGTCCCTTAGCGGTGAGTCAGAGATTTAGAGTTTGAATTATCTAGAAGTTTCTGTTCTCCCTGGCAATCCTATTTACCTGATATCCTTATTCTGGTGCATTTGATTGTCAGTAATTAGGACATTTGATTGCACAACATAAATACAGATTTTAAGAGAGCCACTTCTGTTGGGATCCAGGAACTCAACGACGTTAAGATTTACAATTTTTGGTGAGGTCTCATTTAAAAATTAGTTCCCTAAGCATTTTAATAGTGCATCCCACTTATCTGCATGAATGCACTTTACATGAAGCCAGTGACACATTTATAGCAAAATTGATGTCTTTTTCCACGAGTCAAAATGTGCAGTTCTTCCGTTATTACATCTGTTAACCCAGCAGTCACCAGCATCACCTTGTGTCAGATGACAGTTATTTTAGTGCCACAGAAGGATGAGCACAACGGAAGAAATGTGATCACCCGGAATAGTGCTGCACACACATCTTAGGCTAAGTCGCACGTTCACAAAGATAGACCAAGGCCAGGTGAATCCTAGCCCTTCGAGGCAGCTGGTCCTCTGAAGGCTGGCTTCCATCTCTGCCCTCAAGGGGACACGTTCAGGCAGCCGCTCTCTCCTGTGTTAGACAGGGTCTCAAGACGTGCAAGGCTGGCTTTATGGTGCAGCTAACGCCTGGAAGTGCTCAGCCTTCAGGTGGCATCTTAAATGACGCCACGCGTCCTGTGCTGGGTCACTCCCCGGGACCAGAGCCGGTGCAGCCTGCTTTCCTGGGGATGCACCCAGAACACAGTCCGCCTTACACGGCATCTCCTAATAATGTGTATTCCCGCTCTGACTGTTCCCTCCACATTCTGCCTCCACCTTGGTCGTCCGGAGAAACCTGGTGGAAATAGTTTCAAATGCCACATTCTTTCCAAAAGCTATATCCATTATTTTCTAGGAACAGTTTTCCAAATTAGATCTGCCTGTTATTCAGGGCCTGAAAAAAAGCTTTCAAGACTTGGAAGGAGTCTCGTGGTTCACTGACTCCAAGCCACCTCCCCCAAGCCATGGGGCTCCCTTGTTTGCACCCAGATCTGTTGTCCTGTAGTTTTTCTTCCTTTTTGGTCCTCATTCTGCTTGATGAAGTGAAAACGAGCATCTCTGGTCTTTCTGCCACGCGGCATCCCAAAAGATACTTGAAAACAGTAATCACGGCCTACTAACACCCCCAGTTCACTCATTGGTTTTTTTCCCATGACTGAGTTTTAAGCTGTTAAAACACTGATTAGGCAATTACGGTCTCTGGATAGGTAAGGCTGTGCAATGAATGGAAACCTGCCCAAGCGTGGCGCCCAAAACACACTCCCATACAGCGCAGAAAGGACGCCTGCCCCCAGGGAAACGGGACTCTGTTCACGTCAAGATGGAGGCTCGCACGCGGCTCAGAGGGACATGAACCCACTCTCTGTCTCACACGTACTGCTGCTCAGGTGCCTCTTCAATCAACCACTAGCTTTTCCACTGACGTTCAGAGCCATACGTCCATTACCCTGGCACTCGATTGCGTTAGGTAAGCCTGACAAAGTGGGCAGGCGAAGGGGCGCCTGAAGATTGGACTCGAAATCCCCGCCATAAGATTCTTTGTTTTTCTCCTGAAATGTGTGAACGTAAAGTTGGCTCGTGATAACTTAGTGACTGAAAAGCAGTTTTTTGGGTGTTTTTTTTTCTGGCATGGACACAGAGTGAACTTAAGAGAGATAAGAGAAGCAGGCTTCTTTATAGATGGTCCAACTGGAAAGACTTCCACGTGACCTTAATTTAGAAAACAAAAAATGTAAATACTACTTACCCCCGCAGCTTGAATGTGGCAGGAAACTTTTCGTATTGATTTCACCTAGGCTTTGGCCTTTGACTATTACTGTTTTTCATGCAGGAATTTCTAAAAGAATTTGTTAGCTGAGACTAGAAAAAAAAATTTCTTAATTCCTGAGGCAGCAAAATATCACTATTTCTATTTCTGTTTCACAAAGACATTTCATTCATTGTTCTAGAGAATTGCAAAGCAGATGAAAGGTTAGATGGTAAAAGAGCCCTTTCACTGAGAAATACTTGCCGTTTGGAGGGTATTTGCTTCTGGACAGGATTTACTGTCTGTTTCTACAATAGGACAGACCGTTAAGGTTTGAGTCCATGAGACCTAGATTGTTCCTGAGTCGCCTGGAAGGTTGCTTTTCCAGTCCTTCACTGAAAAGTGGTACAGGCCAGAAGCGCAAAGTTTTTCACAGAGAAGAGCTGTATTGTTTGAAATAAACTTACAGAGCTTCATCTGTGCATATGCATTTCTTGCATGTAATTGCTGTAAAATGCATACCCCCACTAAAACAATATTCTTTAAAGGTATGCTGAGCTGCTATTCTATTAAATTTCATTGCAATAATCTGTGCTCCAGCCTTAATATTCTACGTTGTAAAAGTTTTGTAATGGGTAATATGAAGAGTAGTTTTACAAATGCAGTCTTACGGAAGATCAAGAAATGTTCCTGATTCACATCGGTTCACATGGAAACCATCTTTCCACCAGCAGTTAGGACCGTTTCTGAATGAAATATGAGGAAACAATGACTTTGAAACAGCTGTGTCTTTTCTCTTTAAAGAGGAGGGTCATTTTAGAAGAAAAAATTAAGCCTATGTTAAAAAAAATTTCAAAGGCTCAATTGGGATTGTTTCCCATTAGATTCAGACATAGCCATGAAAGTAGAAATTTGTTGAAATTATGAGGGTACTTTTTTTTCCCCTTAATGCAGAAGCAACTATCATGTTCAAATATCCATTATACCAGAATGGGTCTTTCCAAAATGTTTGCTGGCATTTAGTTTGTTTATCTCCAACTGTTATACTAAGCTACGATTTTTTTTTTTGCTAGAACAGCCGCTTTCATTTATGTTTGATTTTGTACTTTAAGAGCTTTCATATCTTTGCATTAAATAGAAAAAAAAAGGTAAGTTATGGATATCTGTGGTTGACAGGTAGAATCTTGTACCTTTTGCTCTCAATAGTGTTTTAACAGCCCCTATTCTGGATTTTCTTTTTTATGAAAAGTGGTTCATTTCTCTTTTGACTAGCTTTAGAAACCAGTGAGCACACACAAGAAGTCATTGAGTAACCAGGATCAACACAGTTTCCATCGATTCCCCTAAGCCATCAGTTAGAGCATGAACTTGACCATACACGGCCCACTGGGTCAGTTTGCTAACTCAGCAGAGCCTGATGGGTATTTGTTGCCTTGCGTAAGTAAGACCTGCCTGGGACTTGGGGTGTGAGAGTGCTGTTCTAAGTTTTAGGGGCGCAGCATTTAATAAGCAATGAGGTTCTACACTCAGCAGTCACAGCACAACAAAGGGCTCTTCCTAGAATGGACGTTCCTCAAGGGTTTTTGATGTTGTTTTTTTTAAGATATCCTTGAGAACCATATACTTTGCATTTTAAATAAGAAGAAATGTCAGTGGCCCACGCTGTTAAGAGGAATTCTGTAGATCACACACACCTTCTGCTGGGGGTTTAAGCCAACATTTAAAACACCAGCCAGCACCTCCACCGTCCTCACTAGACACCTAAAATACAATACACTTCTTGACTTTGTGTTTCTTACTAATGACTCTGTGGTGTCCCCAACCCTGTGGTATAAGCTACACTTCATATACTCAAATCACCTGGAATAGCCAAACTTCAATGTTTATAATCATGTTTTTTCACAAAACTTTCTGTAATGTAATTACATCTTCCTAAAAAATGAAGGGCAGGTTATTTTCAGCAGAAGGTGTTTTGTTCGTTTGTTTTTCTTTCTTTTCTTTCCACCCTGTCAGATTCTTATAAGAACTGATTTTAATTTGAGACAAAGTGACAAACAGGAAAATCTGCCCAACCTCTATCCACAAATTGGACGTTTTTGGTCAGCGAACTGGACTTTAGCTTTCCACTAGTCAAAGGAGAAAGGATTTGCTAAGTAAATCAATAATCTAAATGAGATTACAAAAAGCCTGTTTGCCTGCCTAAGAAAACAAACCTCTAGAGTTCAAAACACTACTTTAGTACAGTGGGGTTTTTTCTTTTTCTTTTTTGCAACATCATGTGAGCATTACAAATCTCACTGATAAAGAAGGAGTCCAGTAGGCATATCTCCAGGCAAATCTTTACCAGATGTTTAAATACTTGCTGAGAACAATAAAATAGCATCTATTTTTAAACAGATTTGAATGCGCGCTTTGTTGGATGCTCTTCGCTCCCAAGAGGGCCATTAGTCCACGCTGAGAGCTCTCTGGTCTGCAGGGCGACTTCCCCTGCTCCGCGTTCAGGCAGCTGTCAAGGGTTTCAGTCAGCGCAGCCCTGGAGGACGGGATGTGCAGGAAAACCCTGGGCTTATCTTTCCTCCAGCAGAATCTCTTTCCGAGCAGACATCTGAGAAAAGGCTTTGGGAAACAGGCAAATCTCTGGCAACATTCTCGCTCAGGGTGATATTTCCCAGTGTCTGTTCTTTTCTACAGTTTGATCTCTTTACCGTCAGTTTCCTGAAGGGTGTATGTGTTAACAGTAGAATTTATCAGATGGGAAGAGGTACATACTAAGTCATCTTGGATGGTTGAATAATTCTATCACAGATCCCAACTTGATTTGTTTTTCAGAGAGAATTGTTTTTAAATTGTTACCCAAGAACATGCTTATTCATTTTAGAGGGAGAGGGAGAGACATTGATGTGAGA